CCATGAGATGTCCCCCACCAGAAGACACAAACAAATCTGACTACTTGGGAAGAAAGCCCTTAAGCCAAGCCCACGACTACCAGACAAGCCTGGATTTTGACCGACAGGGTCTACAAGCCTGTAAGCAACGCCCCCAGCTGTTGGAACCTAAAAAGAGCTCCTAACGTGGACCATGGTCATTCCATGAGATGTCCCCCACCAGTAGCTCAAGTCTCTTCCCCTCCTAGAAGTCTCCATGTCTAGGTCTATAATCCCTTAAACATAGCCCCCAGATGTTTGAGCACCTTGGTCATCCCTTCGGGAAGCAGCTTCGCACGAGTATCCCTTTGGCATTCGGGTGAACTAATGGTCAGGAAGAAAACAAAAGTCAAATGCCAATTTTGATTCTGAATGTTGTCCTTCTCGCTTCTCTTGAAGCACAACATGCGGCGGGGCAAGCTGTTTGAAGGAATTTTTCAACACTTGCATCCCCGATGCGAATAAGAAAAAAAGCAGTTCGCAACCCAAATCCGCAGGTACCAAAATGCATGTGGACTACGGAAGCCGTAGGTCAATAAGCCCTGATCCAGAAGTAAAATTTTCAAAAGTCTCAGAATGACCTAAGAAGGTTCAAGATCGTGCCAAGGGTCTCTTAAGAACATCTGCCAAGTTTCGCCGCGATCCGACAAGTTTAAGGTAGTGCAGATGAAGAAACAGTTTTGAGAAATTCTGCCTATATCATACTGAAAATGGACCCTGACTATAGCACCATAATCAGAGCATCAAATAGTCTCCAGACCATCGTCATTGGATTCAGAACGTTCGAAATTTCCCGAATACCAATTTTCGACGCATTCGGACGCTTCTGTAGTGAGTTATGACCAAATTACCCAAAATGGGTAGGTCGTACACTATTACAGTGCACCCTCAGCGAACCAGTGGAAACTGTGGTTCTCAATTTCGGGGGCAAACTTCACATGGCTATATCTTCCTCATCCCGGGTCAGATCGAGCCCAAATTTTGAGAGCACGTTCGTCTCGTCGACGGGGTTGATTTGATATGCGGCACGCACGATGACACGGCCCGCGCCGAGAGAAATCGAATAGAGAAATTCACCGAAAAGTTCCAAAAGTAGCAGGAAATTTCCAGCAGCACGTCCCCTCGATCGAACGCCCACTCGATCGAACGCCCACGTCATGGCGCTCATGTGTCAAATCGACGCACAACTAGACCCATTACGAGCACGAGGTCAAAGGCTTCCTCTGAGCCGAACCTCACACGTGATGGACGGCTAGATTCGTCGCACGATGGAGTCGAAGTTGCTGCAATTTTCGACCACCGGAAACCAAACTCCGACCAAAATACCAAATTTCGAAAACGGTCGTTCGGACACCAAATCGAGCCACGTTCGTCGCCAAACGCTCATGACGGCATGCTTGCCAAAATACAGCGAACAAATCATGGAAAAACACGATGAAACACGTGTGATCTTGAATCAAAGATCGCAAGTTTCTCATGATTTTCACATCTCATGATCGTGGCCCAAAAGTCTGATCTATGGCTCGAAATAGGTATCAAAACGACCGTCTTCCCGAGCCGATTAAGAAAAGAATAATCTTTTGGCCGGATGAAGACTGGAACGACCCTGAATGGACCCCGAAAGATCATGAAGGTTGCATGGCCATGAAAGGGACTTAATTGGAATTTTAGGATTTGTAGGTGAGGGGCAAAATGATTTCTTAATTTTCTTTAAGTCATTTAATTCTTATTTTTCTACAATTAGGCTAAAAATTGGGCATCCACCCATGTTTGGACTTAAAATCTATATAAGCACGTGATGCTCACATGTAAGAGACCCGATCTTGATCAATTAAAATTTTGACTTTCGCTTGAGTTTTGGGTCACGGTTTAGAGAGAGAGGAGAGATGATTTTAGCGGGTACCCCTCAATCATCTAGGTAACCTCTTTTCTCTCTTTCTCTCTCTTCTTTCTCTCTACTTTTTCTCTCTACTTTCTCCCTCTTCTTCTCTCTTCTTTCTCTTCTTTCTCTCTTCTTCCTTCCTTTCTCTCTTTGCTTTTTTCCTTTCTCTCTTTGTCTTCCCTTTCCCTCTCTTCTTTCCTTTCTCTCTCTTCTTCTTTCCTTTTCTTTTTGTTTTATCTCTCTTTCTATCTCCCTCTTCACAGGGACAGTGACGTGGGTCTACCCTTTTTGGCGGGTCTTGCTGCAGTCTCTGTATTCTCTCTCTCTTTCCACTCACAGGGGAGCGACGTGGGCCTACCCTTTTTGGCAGGCCTCGCTGCGGTTTCTGTATTATCTCTCTCCTTCCTCTCTTCTTTTTCTTTCTTCACAGACGGTAGCTAACCCGTCATTTGTGTGCTCTCCCCTTCTTTCCCTCTCTTCCTTCTCTCTTTTCAGAAACGGCAGCTAAGCCGTCGTCTTTATACTCTCTTCTTTCTCTCCTTTCACAGATGGCAGCTAAGCCACCGTTTGTGTATTCTCTCTCTTCCTTCCCTCCTTTCACAAACAGCAGTTAAACCACTGTCTGTATATTCTCTCTCTTCCTTCTCTCTTTTCAAAGACGATAGCTAAGTCGCCGTTTGTGCATTCTCTCTCTTCCTTCTCTCCTTTCACAGGCGGCAACTAAGCCACCATCTATGTATCCTCTCTCTTCTCTCCTTTCACAGATAGCAGCTAAGTCGCCGTCTGTATATTCTCTCTCTTCCTTCTCTCCTTTCAAAGACAACAGCTAAGCCGCCGTCTGTGTACTCTCTCTCTACCTTCTCTCCTTTCACAAACGACAGCTAAGTCGTTGTCTATGCATTCTCTCTCTTCCTTCTCTCCTTTCACAGACAGCAGCTAAGCTGGCGTCTGTGTACTCCCTCTCTTCCTTCTCTCCTTTCATAGGCGACATATAAGCTGCCGTCAGTGTACTCTTTCTCTTCTCTCTCCTTTCAGAGACGACAGCTAGGTCACCATCTATATTCTCTCTTCTCTCTCTTCATAGATGGAAGCTAAACTGCCATTTGTGCTCTTTCTTTCTCACTTCTCTCTCTTCATAGACGGCAGCTAAGCTGCCATCTGTGCTCACTCTTTCTCACTTCTCCCTCTTCACAGACAGCAGCTAAGTCGTCGTCTGTATTTTCTCTCTCTTCTCTCTCTTCACAGACAACAGCTAAGCCATCGTTTGTGCTCTCTTTCTCTCTTCTCTCTCTTCACAGACGGCAATTAAGTCACCGTCTGTATCTTTCTTGTCATTTTTCTTTTTCTCTCTTCTCCTTTTCTCTTCTCTCTTAACTTTCTTGCTTCTTTTAGTATTTTCTTCTTTAAAGGATCTGTGTGAAAAAAAAACCAGCCTTCTCTCTTTATTTTCTCTTTATTCATTTGCATTATGAAGGACTAGTTGAAAGGCATATTAGCCCTTCGTTTCCCTTTTCTTTAAAAAAGTTTCTCTTTACTTTCTCTCTGAAGGACTAGTTGAAAGACATACTAGCCCTTCATTTCTCTTTTTTATCTCTACTGTCTTCTCTCTCTCTCTCTCTCTCTGAAGACTCGGGTGAAAATCAAACTGATCTTCGTTCCTCTATTCTACACTTTTCTTTCTCTGTCTTTCTTTGTCTTTTCCTCATTTTATTCATCTCACCCACTTTTGCTTTCATTTTTCATTAAGAAATAATGTCGCGAATCTCTTGTTAAGAAGACATCGGAAAGCTGTCCAATTGACAGGGATCCAATAGCATTGTTCCTTCATTATCCCCTCAAATGTACATGCCTATGTGCATTCATTCAAAGACCAGGTGGAGTCTTCTGACCTACTTATCTGTATTCTAATGTGTGTGTGTCTTTGCAGGGAAGAAGAAACAGGTCAAGAGAGACGATTCCGAACCGGCCACAAGCCAAGGGGGCATTCCACATGATCTAAGAGGGCGCCCATGCGAGCCAGCCCGAGCGTGTCATGGACCCAGGTGAGGTAAGTCCCGCCTCACGACCCAATTCATTTCTCACCGGTTGGTATTCCTGCCCGCGTCCTTATGTGGTTCCCGAGAGAGCGATCTCAGGTCCCGAGTCCATCTCGAACCCGGAACCACGCCACCAAGTCATCCCAACCCAGAGGGCAAGATGGAGGCACCTAATCAAAGAGTTCTAAGAAGTCTAGGCCTATCTTTCTTTAATGATTAGGCTCTTTTTTCTAGAGATCCAAAGTCATTGTTTCCCTAAAACCATAAGAGATAGGATTACATCTTCAGAGCCAAATTTTTGCTTTCTGTTTTAATCTGGACTTCTTTATTATACAAAAACTCCCACAAAACTTTCTAGATAAATGCTCTACAAAATATTTCAAGAAAAATTAAATTAAAATATTTGAAAAATCCTTACTTTTCAATAAATATTTGTAAAAGCAAATTCTTTGAAAAATATCCTTTATATATCCCGTATACTCTTAGCTATACAATAACAAACTATTAAATTTTAAAAAAAATAGACAAGGTAATTAAATAATTTCTCTTTCAAGTTGTGCAATTTCCAAACTAACTTACCCGAATTTCTAAATCATGCATATAGATATTTCTTATTGGGATTTGACATGATATGAAGAAGAACACACTATGTTAAAAAAGGATTCTTATTTTGAGAATCCTTTTATCTCTTCAGTCAAGTGATCAAAGGACGTAGATCGCTCAGAAATATTTTTAAAACAAGTTAGAAAGCCTCAACCCAGGAATAAATGTGAACTGTTAAGACCTGCAACAAATTATAATGAGTTCACAGGACGCAACAAGATAGTAACTCTAGCAGCTTAATGTTGACATGAACTACGCCATTTTCTCATATTTCTTAGCATACTAAAATATTGATACGTCATTCACTAACTGATAAAATAAATATATCATAGTAGAATCTATGGCAAGCATTGACATTATACATATATTGTTGACAATGAGAAAATTTTGTCACAATCAACATTACATAAATCATTGGATGGAAATGAAATAGAGGACAAAATATCAAAATATGTACTCACAGTAACAAATCCCAGGCGCAATGCCAAGTAGTCCGACTTTTTTATGGAGCTTTGGAATTGTCGTATGAAACAAAGCTATGCAATGAAAAGCATCATACCATGCGGTTAAAGGGAATGAAATTTCATGCTCTTAAGTTGAACACTATAAGCCACTCTATGCTTGTGGTTATCACTACGGACAAACTCGAAAGATTTTCTGAGGATGGTGAATGAGCACAATTTTATCATAAACAGGAAAGAGGATTCCTTTAAAAAAAATTTATAATGCATATAAATGAATGTAAGCAAAATGGTACCCTGGATATTGAAAACGGAGAAATAAAAAGTGTGGTATGAAAACCCAATAAACTATGCCAAGGTGGTTTTATATATTTTAATTATACATGCATAGCATCAACAATTACATGCTTATGGCTCATACCAGATGGAGTAAAGAAGACAATAATTATGAATGAACTTACGATAAACTAGTTGTCGGTGAGAGATCACGTTTACAAGGAATGCACTGCATAATTCTATTCCTCACATGTTTTAAAAAAGAAAACTGGCATTTTGAATAGGGAAAAGTTTATATAGAGCCTAGGCTCTAAACAATCAAATTAGAGCCTACTTCAAAACATTCACTAGAAGAGGTTTTTTCGATGCCCGAATATCATCAAATTGATCATCTCGACATCAAGATGCATGGACATGAGAATGAACTTCAAGTTTTGGAAATAGTGCATCTTGTAATGCATTTTTCGACTGTCAATTTTTAAGATTTTCTAGTTTTCATAGATCTGATCGATCTACACTATTTTTGAAGCTTTAAATTTTATAACCAAAGATAAAAATATAATTTAAGGCTATCACAAAACTTTCCCGCATTGAAACCATATTTTTCGACACTATTTGAAGGTGGGCTCAAATTTGATTGTTTAGAGCCTCGGCTCTATACAAACCGCACCCTTTTGAATAAATGAATCTAATTTTAGGATCTCATAAGACAGTCGTGAATTTCATGAGATCCTCGTTAATATGGCAGATGTAATATTCTTCAGTTTTCTTCAATAACTACGCATGTAGATTTGGAGACTCAAAATGAAAGTACTAAATGAAGCACATAACCACAAGTTCGGTTCAAGAAATTCTAGGTCCATCTGGCGAAAAAAATATAGGTTTCCTTGAACAAATTCTTTTTAATAGTTACTCTTGCAGCAATTTTTCATATAAAGAAACGACTATAAGGCAAAGCAATAATCAAGAAACTATGACAGCCCTCAGTTCTAAGATCTTGATACATTTCACAGAAAAACTAAAATATAAAAAAAAAGTTCAAATAATAACATACGTCGTCAAAACTGTAGGAAAAAACAGAATTCAGTTCCGATATATTAATTTTTTGAATGATTTCTTAATGTTCAAAGTTATTATTATATTAGATAAATTTCTATTAAAGTGAAAACCCGTTCACAATCTCTCATAAGAATAAAAGGCAGGGCAAACCATTAACTTGAAGAGGCATACATCAATAAGTTTTGCCCAAATTTATTATTTGTATTATTCATTTGGGCAGAGACCTACCGGCAGTGGCTTTCACCCACATTCTTAGAGATGTCAATTCTGTGGCGGACTAAGGGAGGAGCCTTAAGTACATTACCCCTCATTGCAATTCTTGCCACAGAGACCTGCAGTCTGTGACCTCCATACAGGGGATATACCAAGTTCAAGGCCTCACAGCAAACAGATCTCGCAGCTACCTCCTTACCCTTGAGCTCTCACCAAGAGGTACGCACCTAGCCCACCCTTTCGCAAACCTTCTCGCTCTCCTCTCCCTTCCGCTCGATGTTTTCTTTATCTCTCTTCCCCCTCCTCTCTTCTCCCCCATCTTCTTTCTTTCTCTCTGTCCTCCCTGTGCTGCCCCTACTCTCTAAGCCTATTTTCACCTGCTCTATCACTCTTTCCTACTTAGAGCCCTTCCTTTGGGCTCTTTCTTTTCCTTTTCTTTCTTTCCCCCTACCTGCTCGCAGGCCTTCCTCTCTCTCTTTTCCCCTCTTCTCTTTTCTTCCTGCAGGTCATCTCCAAGGGACGTCTTACAGCATGGGAGGGCCAGAAGAGGTTCTCAGACAATTTCTCACGCTCGCACTTGGAAGCTCACTCTCCCACAGATCTCGCAACAGGATACCCATGACCTCCCAAAGTACAGCGTCACAAATCATGTTTACAGGTCACCTTCGACCCCCTAGCACTGAACGATGGACTGCTATCTTCTTTAATATTCCCTGGGTTTATCTTCTCTTTTATGGAGCTCTCTCTTCTACTGGCCCTCCCCTCTGTCACATCTATGAGCAGTTTTTCACTCCTTCTAGTAGTACTCTACTTATTTGTAGCCTTTTTATTTTTTTATCTTTTTTCTCTTCTTTTAGCTTGGTTTTACTCTTCTTCTTTCCCTGTACTCTGAGCACCCATTTTGTGGACTTCCATTTTTACCAACCTTGTGGTTCTGTAATTTCTCCTTTTTATTAATTAAGTTAACCACTTTCACAAAAAAATTAATTGCTAATTTCACTTTTTACAAGTCTTATATCGATTAGATATTTTAGAAAATCATTGACTTAGAGCTATTTCATAAAACTCCAACAAAGAATGTCACAGCCTTCCAAAAGTAAAATAAAGGTATTGGTGACTTCCCATATATTGCAAAAATATATTAGATCAAAGAGAAACAAATTATATAAGCTAACAGGCCTTTGCTGTAGCATAAGTCACATGGAAAAGTAGAGGTTCATTGGATCCCAAAGTTTGCACTCACGTAGATCTCATCTAGGTAACAAAATTAACAAAAATATTTTTAGTTTGCACAAAAGATGTTGAAATATGAGTTCGCCATTTTCTGTGAACACAGGTCATCAATTTGATGTTGGTGGATCAAGAACTCAAAATTAACTTTTTTTGAAAATTGCTTACTTTACAAATCAAAGATGTTGGGCAAATTTCAGCCCAAAACATTCCTCTTGGTATGTGTTTTTGAGTTCGGCTTATACTGTAGCTCTAAGCCCATTGGCTTCTAGAAGTGATTCATCACCATATGTTTGATAGATTGTTCTATATTCTCATCCCTGCTCATATGCTTTTCCAAAAATCAGTAAATATGGGAGACGTTGTGGGATTTTTTTAGGTCTCATGGACCCACAATCTCCCTAGCAAACAAAAAGAAAATATTTATCAAATCAACTTTGTGGACAAAGCAGTAAAGAAGCAATGGCGCAAGGCAATGTAAAAATGATCTGATTTTGTTAGTATCCCTTGTGACACTGAAGACATTGAATAAGCATAGCCTATAATGTTTTTCCAATTTCAAGTGAGGGACTAAGTCCCAAATACATATAAACTTGATGAAACATTTTTCAGATGAAGATGTCATAGTGGTAAAATTACAATTATTTCTACATGGCTGTATGAGAGAGGTCATGAGGTCAGACAGGAGCAACACTTCTAACGGTCCGTCCCTACCAATCATGAACAGTTTCCAAAATGTTCAAAGGTCAATAACAACCAGTAAATCAATCAAAGACTTCTTCTCATACTAGTCACTAAAATCATATCCTTTTGCATGGTCACCTTCAAGTCAAATTTCAATTCAATTAACCTTTTAAAACAAATGTTGGAAACAGTCCCAAGAACCCATCGGAAAAGTGAATCTCGTTAGACTGAGATCTATGAAAGGTGCGACTGAATTCACGACTCAGCATTTATCTTAGTATTGTGAAAGATGTGTTGAGTCTCCTGCTTGATGTAGTTAGCAGGAAAACACTATGGTTTAACCAGTTCTATACTTGTTCCACAAATCACCTAAGAAGTATCTTCCAAAAAGAAATTTCTACAAATGCTAGGACCACAGGTGGGAAATTTCCCATTTAACTGGAAAATATTGCTAGTGTTGGTTCAATAAGTTTCAAAATCAATGAGAAAGTGCAGGTCAGGTACCAAGTTGGACCTCTTTAAAGAGGTAACCCTGCACCTAAGGCACTTATTTTTGGCATTAGTATAGTTTCTCCTCCCATTTCCTCGAGATGAAGAAAACATATTCTATAACCACAACTGAGTTTCTTTGGACTTAAAACATTATATATGACCTGATATATGTCAGGTCCTTCAGTTTTGAATAATCCAAGTACCTGCAAATCTCTAGAGTTACAATTTTACAGAAGGCCCAATTTTTAATGAAATTCATTGTTTTGGAAACATCTTGTCCAAACATGATTTAATAAATTTGATATTTTAATCAAAATCCTTAAGGGAGGTCCAGGCAAATATAGGTCCTCAAACGGACAAATGTGTACGATACCTACATACGTGTTTAGGGTATAACAATGAAACTGAGTGTAAGTAGCTTTTATCTGCCCTCAAAGTACTTCAAATAGGGGACTTCTCTAGATACAATAGATGCAAAAAATCCTAAGTTTCTGCTTTGTGGCAAGTGGAATTCAAACCCAAGTCCATGGTGTCTTGTGTTTCCCATTCCTTATATTACTGATCCAAGAGGCTCAGGACAATGTATATAGAATCGATTGTTTGGGCTTTAAGAACACATTCACTTGGAAGAAATTCAATTAAAGAATGATTCTCAGTTAGTAAAAATGAGTGAAGAAAAAAATATGTGCAGAAATGATAGTAATATCCTTTATGAGCATTAAAACAAAGAACAAAATATGATAGAATGCCCACATAGAATAAAGTGTGTAACACAATTTTTAAAATGAAGCATTACCATCCAGATGAGAACCCTATGCTTGCTCCATGGATGTGATGTATGATGAAAAACAAATGTAGATTGCCTCTTGATTACAACATTTCTCCTTGCTACAAACAGAATGAGCAATGAATAATTTAGTTAGATGACAAATAAACAATCCCTTGTGGATTTAATGAAGTGCTAGGCTTATGAGGCACTCATGCTTAACTGAAGGAGACCATTAATGCATATCATAGTAGTCACACAATAGGTAGAGCAAGCAATTCTCACAATAATAGTATCCCAAATTATAGCAAATACTGCTATGTTATCTCCTAAGAAAAATAGCACTGCAAATATCTAATGCAATGGATCTTACATTATTGACTGCATGCCGAGTGTTGCATGAAAATCACTTTTTACTCTTTCCAATAGACTTTTGGAGAACCGATGTGAATGATGGTAATTTACTATATAAAAAAAAACTATTATAAGCACATCTCTTGATTTCCCTACTCTAGAAAAAAATAGTTGTATAATGAAACCCAATGAAGATTACGTACAATGTATCAAAAAAAATTTGTGTGCGCTTGACGGTATTGTAGAGAGGCTGAGAATACGCCTTAGGGCTAGCCAGTCTATTCATGGGTACAAGCCAATTTCTTAAGACTGGACTGAGTCTTACCAATTCTTAATTTTCTTCCATTTTCTTTTAAAGAACTAAGTGAAGTCTTACTGGGTCTTAGGGTATAAATATATATAGTATATATAAATTTATAACTAATGTTCAACAAGTAATAAGATTTTCTCTCAAATTGCCACTATCGTGGTGATTGTCATTTTATCATAAAAGTAATGTCAGGTGAATCTATAGTTCACTGCAGAAACAAAAGCATCTTTCAAAAATCACCATTGTTGATTTATCGAGAAACTAGTCATTCAAAATGTTCCTTTCAAAGGGTGTGACAACACATGTACATGCATATGGAAGTTATCCAGGGATGCTCATATTAATTAAGAAAATTTAAGAAAATATACATAAGAGATTAACTATTCAATATTTTGCCCATATCTTTTTATTTAATTTCAAAATACACATGACCATGATTTGGAATAGTTGAAGAAGGGTAAACTATTAAATTGTTGAAAAGTTAGGAGTATTTCGATAAATTTCCATGTTATTTATCAGAGACACAAGGGAGTACATGAACATATTGAAGTCATCCCCATGAAGCAACCAAATATCAATTTTATAGATCTAAGTAAAGAACCAGAATTTGTAGAAGTATATGTCAATGCAAATATATTGAATGTACATAAAAAGTTTTACTCATCCAATGGTTGCAGCTAAACCATTGATTCTCTCTACAAGTATTCTTAAACCATTTAGAACTAACCTTGTACATTTGCACGAGGGACTAGGCTGGCTTGTATCTCCCATTTCCTCCAGCTATATATCTGCATTAACAAGAAACAAAGTATAAGCTCAAGTAAACATGGAGCCCTAATAATCTCAGAAAACACCAATTTGGAGAGTTCAGGTGTGACCTTAATCATAGCAAGAACAATTGTGAAACAACTATAAAGTACATGTGTAATTCCAAGGACAAATAAGAAGCGAAGAAGCTGCTTGAGGCTTTCATATGAAACGAATGGTTCATGACCCTGAAGATTCAGGAAACAGAGGAAAACATAAGAGACTCAAGTTGCAGATTTGAATAAGGAACAGACTGAATAAGTACATTGACCACCTAATGCCTGCAAGGAACAAAACCAGATCCTAAATAGTTAGTCATTCAAAGATGCAATATCACTAGATGACGCATATGATAAAAATGGATTCCCAATACATGACAAAGGAGCTTTCAAGCTGAACCGTCTATACTTTCATCCAAACCGATGAGAATGAAACCAAAACTACCAAGGCCCATTAAATAAAATCAGTTTCTAGACATGAAATAATTGTAAGTTGCAATGCAAATAAAGGAACCAGTTGATATATCTGTAGGAAAAGATTACCTCACTGCAGTACTTAGAAGGCATAGAGTCGACTCCTTCAGCTGAATGATCCATTTGTTGTTCCAAGTGAAAATTATTGATTAACAAATTTAACCCTTCAAAATCCCCCCTAGCACAAGGATAGAATTTACTGCTAAAGAGAGAAGAGTCCACACAAATCTCCGAGATCCATCTCGCACATTGGCCCAGCATTAGAGATATGAACCCCAGCAACATAAGCTCTTCACACACCATAAACACAAACTCGACTATCAGAAACAATGTTAAATTTTGAAAAACCCACAACCACAAAAATAATAATAATTATTATAACGAAATACACAGAGAGAAAAATAGGGAAAGGGATACACCCATCCAATACAAAAGGCAACAAAAAATGGGGAAAACAGAATGTATAACTTCCACGCTTCACCTTCCTTAATCTTCTCGAGAGCAGCTAGAAGAGCCTTCCTCTTTGTCTTCCTTAGCCACTATAAAAAGCCCAGAAAGAGTTAAAAATAGGAGATTCAGATGAATTCATTAACCAAGAAATAGAACTTCTGAGGTTTCTTTGTTCAATCCAATAAACAGAACATTTCTAGATTTTTCAAGACTTATTACCATTCCGAAACGATATATCAATCTCTCCACGATGAAACAAACGGCAACCATTCCAGTAGTCACAGTCGCAACAAACCAAGTTGGGGTTTCAGCCAAAGATCGCTCCTGGTTTCCCATATCAGCTTCTCAATTCATAAACTCCATTAAAACCAGCACTTGGAGAATTCAGAGCCCAAAATTTTCTTATTCCACAGACACCATTGAAACTAGCACTTGGAAAATTCAGAGCCCAATCTCTTTTAGATCCATGGACTCCACTGAAGCGAGCTTTTCCAAATCTCAGAGGCCAAAGCTTCACCAGAGCACATGAAACTGTGGACAGGGGCAAAGTTATCAGAGTACACCTCAGCGTTTCTGCCATCAAAACGTGCGCTAACCTTCCTGTTGCTGTATTTTATGATTTTCTTCTTTTGTCTCCTCTAGAACAAACCCCATGTCTTCGTTTCTCGATATCAAGGCACATTTGTCGTCAATGCCCCCGCTGTTTCCTTCTCCCGAGTACAGAGTGAAGCAACCCATGCCCATGCGTCGTATATAGTATATAGAAATATTGCAAAGAAGATATATGGAAGCCTCCTCTCATTTCAGTATAAGAGTAAATAAAAGCCAAGAATGGATTCTCTCTCCACTTTAAATCTCAGTTTTTGTTCTGATTCTCTCTCTACTGGTTTGGACTTAAATAAGAGCAATGCCATTCGATGAAAGCCATGAAATTTAAAACACAGATGTCTGTATCCTAGCTTTGAGGAGTAAGGAAATTGGAAAAGGCAGTATTTGGATTATTGAAGGTCAAACATGGTGTGAAAATATATCATATATAATATTTCGGCGATCCTCGCATTTGGGGAGCGGGAAACAAGGAAGAGTATTTGCTTCCGGGGATTACGCTCTGAACCACGTTCAATTGCAGCGCCCGAAAGATTCGTCGGCCCTTTCATGGCATTAGATTGTAGTGGGGTGCAAACGGGTGGGGTGGGCAGCGTTGGGCCTGCAGCCCTGGTCGACACGACTAGATACAGTCTAGGTCAAGGACAATCGGACCCGGACTCTACCAGCCGAATCGGATGGGTTGGGTAGATGTAAATGCGCGGGCAATTAACTTCCGGGGCTGGGTCCAGCTGTATATAAATGGGCAATTAAGGGTACGATTGATAACATACTAACATCATGATAATTGAGCATGTTGTAGAATAAAATATGATTTTAATTATAGAAGTTGGTGTGCCATGTTTTACGCTACCGAATAGTTTTATTTTACTGGAAAATATATTTTTATTTTTTATTTTTTGTTTGAAAATATTACTTATAAGTAAAAAGCCTACATCTTTTCTATCTTACAAAGACCATTTTGACTATAAATTTTTTATTCAAACAAACACTAAAATAACATCCTCATAAAAAAAAAAAAATTACCTGTTAACATTTTCTCTCTCTCAAATCACAGTCTCTTAACTACATCTCTCTTTAAAACTTAAAGTTGTTCTCCTCTCTATATCGTCTCTATCTTCTCTATAAAAATTCATCTCTTCAAAAAAGTTGTGCTAAATCGATACGGCTAGTCTCATACTTTGATATGTCTTTGCACGGAGAATCGAAATAGAGAGGGGAGATAATTTTTAGAGAGAAGAGAGAGACGATATAGAGGAAAATTTTCTACAATTTCGGGTTTTAAAGAGATATGGAGTTGAGAGATAAACGGTGATTTGAGAGAGAAAACTTTAATTGAAAAGAAAAAATTTTATAGAGGGTCTCATTTTAGTGATTCTTTAAGTCAAACATTCATGGCCAAAGGGTTACAGGGGTTGTAAGATAAAAAAGATGAGGCATTTTGCTTATAAGTAATAGTTTCAATATTTGGGTCTCATGATATATAGAATTAAAAAATAAGGGATAAAGAGATATTTTTCTTATTTTATATTCAAATAATGGCCTAATATCTGAATAGTAAACAATTGGAAAAATTACAAAAAATAAAATAAAATAAAACCAAGACTTCACTTATTATGCAATTTATATCCAATCTAACTTTTTTTTTCTCACTTTTTTCCCCAAAATAGGCTTTCTATATAAATACCTCCAACCAAATGAAACATAAAAAAAATGCTTAAACTACCCTCTCTTACGTTTATGTTATCATGCTCTCTCTTCTATCGCACGAAAATAGGGGCTTTCGTATTGTGTAAGTGCATCCGATAGTAGGGTTCTAACACTGTGTAAAGTGCGATCCGGCGGTAGGGCTCCGGCACCGTGTAAAATGTGATCCGAGAGTAGGGCTCCGGTGCGATGTAAAGTGTAGTTTGGCAGTTGCAGAGTGCGGTCCGGCAATAGATGTTATTGGATTCCAGGGCTCCGACAGTTGCAGAGTGTGGTCCGGCAACAGATGTTATTGGATTCCAAGGCTTCGACAGTGGTAGAGTGTGGTCCGGCAATAGACGTTATTGGATTCTAGGGCTTCGGCACTATATACAGGGCGGTTCGACAGTACTCAGTTTCGGTCCGATAGTTCTATTAGACCAGTCCGACACTTTTGCGCTCCTGTAATGTGATGGTGCACTCTGGCAACATGCTACAAGCGTCCAAAAGTCAACATCAAATCTGGCCAAAATGATTTTTGTGTACGAGAAGGGTATTTCCGTCTAAACAAATGAACTTTTTCCTATGGGTATTTACGCATAAAGTTTGTTTTGGAGAAAAAAGTGAGAGAAGAAGTTACGGAAAAAAGTGAGAGAAGAAGTTACTTGAGGGATAAGTTCCATAAAAAGTGTGATCTTGGAGTTTTTTGTAATTTTCCCTAAAAAATTCAGCTTTGAGTAGAAATTTTGGGATATATTAAGTAGGTGTGGTTTCTATAAGGTTGCAACCGTAAACAATCTAATTAAGGTGTACCTCCAAATTTGATCATAATATGTAATTTTAATGTAAAAAATTCTTAGGATTATCTTAAAATATATTTTCATCTCTAATTATAAATTTTGAAATTTCAAAAATAGATAAAATCAAGTAGATCCATAAAATTTCAAATGGATAAAATCAAGTAGATCCATAAACATATGAAAATCTTGAAAATTAACCGTCCGTATAATGCAAGATGCATTATTTTTTAGATTCAAAATCTTTTTTTTGTTATATCCTTATATCTTGATGTCAAGATGATTAATTAGAGGGTTTTTCAACAATAAAACAATATTTTCTGATGGATTTTTTAGATGCATATGTGATTCTACATTTTTAAGGTTGCAACCTTATATAAACTTTTTCCATATTATACTGGGTGGGATTCTATTTCTTCATCATTGGATGGTATATGTGTGCTCTCTCTCTCTAGAAAATGTCATGTTCTTGCTTCGCCTAAATCCATTCAATCCGCTCTCTCTATTGAGTCTCTTTCTTTACCATCCTTCCTGATCCTGCCATTTTCTGAAAGGTGATTTGAAACATAACACAGGAAAAGCACCTTGGAATTGGTCATGACTTCGCTACAATGTCCGCCATGTTATATTTCAGAATTTCAGTAAAACGTCAAATGGAAAGCAAAGCTTCGAGCTCTAATCAAACCAGGCCTTGAGCTCTCAGCAGACCAAACCTTCTCTAGTTTTCCCTATATGTTTGCAGTAATTCCTATTTCCACCATTAAAGTACCAGAAAACGCCAATTGCTCCATTTAAGTAGCATCAGAAAACCTGTCTGCTTCACTAAAAAAGCAGGAAACGCTAGTCCACGGGAAAACCAAATTCCTCCACTAAATAGAATTGAATAGAGAGACGAGAGTTTTAGAGCGAGAAAATGAAGAGAGAGATACGAGTTTTGGAGAAAGGGTTGAAACTTAATAACGGAGGGGTTAGAGAGAGAGATTGAAATTGCAGAGGGAGATGAAAATGGCGACGCTAGGTTGTAACTTTCGAAATTTCAACGAACGATGAAAATTGTAGAGACAGATGAAATTGCAGAGAGAGAAGAAACCTTAACCTCTGCTTTAGTGGTGGTTTCAGTTTTGCTGAGATAAAATTGCAGAAGGAAATAGTTTAGCTTTCGAGCTCCAATGGGAGCTTTTTTATGCTGTTATTCATGCTTACAAGTAACAGGATCCCCTAATTTCGCCATTAAAGCAAAGGTTACCCCTAATTTCTATTACATTCTTCACCCAAAGTATCCATCTTGCCAGGCTCAACTAGAGAAGCCAACAAGTCTAACACAAAGGATGATTTGGGTGATGATCCGTGTTTGAACAACTTTTTCTATAGTTTTTGCCACTTTATCGATGGTATTTAGAGAGAGAGAAGAATTTGTTCATAGATAGAATGCTTCTATTATGTTTGGGAATTTGAGGTTTACTTGGGGCCAGGAGTGATATCACAGGCTTGCTTTTGAAATCTCTACACTTGTCTTTTACCTGGAGAACTTGTGAGGCATTGGTTGTATCTGCACTCTTGCATTCAGTTAAATATTTCATATAAAATTTTTTAAATTACACGTAGATAGCCAAACATGCACAAAAAACGTAGACCAGGATAATATATATTTCAAATATATGAAAAACCAAGTAATGCTTTTATCTATATTTCTAAAAATTTGAATATTTAGATTTTGTTTTGTCAGACAGACCAAAAAAAGTATACAAAGAGACTATTTACTTTTAATATAAGCAGGTCACAATCATCATTTCTGTCATATTTGAAATTGGGTCATTGTGAATGTCTAATTTTTTAACATTTAAGTTTTATTGAAATACTAATGGGAGTACAACAAATGCATAAACTTTTATTCCAAGGTAGTATCCAAAAGAGAAAAAGTCAAATATCTTGTCACAAGACAAGGTAGGAACGTGACATAGGACATTCAGCAAAACACTAGAAGGGTCACAGATATTGGTGCAGGTCAGTTCATGGACCTACTTCAGAAGCTACATTTCCTTTTCAATGCCCCTTACAAAGCAAAGTGCATCATTTGGGAGCTTGAACCAGGGAACCAAGGGGACAGTTCTCAGTTAAATCATAGTATCATTAGTTGGCTCTGGATAGAAATTTCTTAGTTATATTAGCAACTAACTATGTGAACATCTTCTCCCCTAAAAGAGTAAAGGCCTTTCTTTGGCTAGGTACTAGAAACATGCGCTAGAGAGTGCATTATTTGGGAAAGAGGGAAGTTATCATCATGAACGTTTGTATCCTCCGCAAGGAGAACGAAGAAACTAATAATCATCTATTCCTCATTTGCCCCTTTTCCAAAACCATATGGACTTCATTCCTCTCCCAGTTACGGCTCGCTTGTTAACCCCTCATTTGGTGAGCCATCTTTTCACTCAATGGTACTCACGTCCTTTCTTTAAGCAAGGAATTTAGTTATGAAGGGCTCTCACAACTGCTATTTTATGGAACATATGGCATGAGAGGAATAATAGAACCTTTCATATCCTGGCTTGGGATGTTTACCGAGTGAGAACCTCTATCCTTAACCACCTATATTCATGGATGCAATCATCAAACCAGTTTGGTGGACTGTCAAGGGGCTGATCTAGATACCAACATCCTTGCTTTATCTTACTTTAAGAAGCCCAAACCTATTAGACCAAACCCTCAAAGCCCACAACTCTACTTCACTAATCCCACAATGATGCAAACCACCTTGATATGACCACTAGATAACTCCATTGCAATCTCACATGATACCACCATATCCCGAAATCTGCTCCTCCACATTAACCCTGCCATCAAAGTTAAGTTTAACCCACCCTTCTGAAGAAGTTTGCTATACAGTTGGTCGTGAACATCTACTCTTTTTTTGAAAGAGGATCTCCTTAAAGTGAGTGAATAGATATTCCTTTGGGAGGCTTCTATATATGGGAGTTATATGTTCCTAGTGCGTGACAAAGTTCTTTACATCATGACATATTTGTGAGATATCTCAAAAACTATGTAGATTCTTGCCCTCTAGACATTCCAGAGAAATTTCTCTGACATAGTCCTCCAAAGGATCAAAACCATGAGCCATGAACATTGGGGATCATCCCTGCTTCAGAAAATGGTTAAAGCACTTTGGTTGAACCCAACTCCAACGCGATAAACTACACGCCCAATCCCATAGC